TTCTATTTCCAGTTTCTTCGTCATTTGCGTGAGTTAATTTCAATTGATCTCGACGCATATTAGATTCTGTTAAGGCTAGCGCCTTAACTTCTTGCTTATTGTTCTTGCCCGCCCTTTAGTCTTCGTGAGATTGGAGAGCACAAGGAAATGATCGCATTCTGTTTGCTGCTGCAATTGTCGATAATTATGATTGATATATAGATTTGTGGTGTGGCCAGGTGGAAGAATCATTCGCCATGTCTACGGCACTCAAGGATTTCCTCAACAGCCCTGTCGGCCCCAAAACCACCCACTTCTGAGGCCCCGTTGCAAACTAGGGTTTCGTCATTGCGGTAAGCTGTAATCATATCCTAGTTTGCGTTCCCGTTTCATTACTAAGTACGGTTTCGTCATTGCGGTAAGCTGTAATCATCAACATCCCGTGTTTCTGCATTGTAGCTGCAACAACGGTCTCACTTTGCATCAGAGTACTGCTTCTAGTGCTGTGGTAGTTTATCCAACTAAGGAATTCCAATGAATAGTTTTCTCCTAGTTAGATAATGAAATTTAATGATAAATGTCAGTAATTTCATGTTTTGTATCCTGATGCCATTGTGATAAATGATAACCTGAAAAATGCTGATTTTGGGACCATCTTCCTTATAGAATATGTGGCTGTGACAGGACTAGTTGTGTCTACATGTGATTATTTTATCTTGTATTAAAAGTGCAATATTGCTGTTAGTTACTTGAGAGCTGAGTCTCGAGAGAGTTCTGCCTTCTTAACAAAGATATGTTCTCGATGGAGCAATTTTATCTGATCACAACTATTGGGTCATTCAATGTACAGGATAAAGTATATTAGGTCACTACTAGACTGATAGTACTTGAATTGAATCAGTGAGGCACAATATCTTCTCCTAAACTAGAGCCACTTCAGATAAAGACATTACTTCTGTAATTGTTCTGCAGTTGGCTGGTTATTGCCTGCTAGGAACGAAATGGATGCAAGTTCCTGTATTCGCAAAACATAATGTAGTGAATTACATGTTCTCCCGCAAAAACATCCGGCACATCTCGTGTAGGAACGTGGAGGCACGACCAGTCTTGGACAGAGTGATAAGTCAATTGTCTTATTTTTCTATGTTAAGTTACATACCAATCATTTAGCTAGGTTTCCTTATCATTGGTTCACCTTCGAGTCGTAGTATTCTTATAATTAATTTAATCTTGCAACATAATCATGTCTTCAGAAGAGGACTCGATGGAGTTTGATTTCTTCCATTCTTTAGAGAATTCGGCCTGTTCATAAACCAATCAAGTGAACTTATCATTGGTCAAGATGCAAAAATAAAAATTGAACAGAATTATCATGTTCTCAATTCATAAAACATTTGGTAGCACACCACATTTCCTTTGTTGCGGGTACCATACTTTCTTTCTATTAGGGACGACACTAGTGACATAATTCTCTTAAATTCTTTCGGTTAGTTCACCTTATTGGGTTATTCGTTTAATAGAGCTTTACTAAGGATCACACTCAAATGACATTAGTGGTCAAGGGATGTCTGGAGGTCATCTAGAGAAAAGGGTTTCAGGAATGGGAGAGGAAAGGGGGGGACACAAGGGTGAAGACTAGAAACTCCCATTGTGTGAGAGGGGTCTATTATGGACTTTGATTTCTTTATTATCGAGAAACTACTATGGACTATAATTAGTTTTCCTCCTAATAGATAAGGTTTCAATGAGTGATTTTTGTATGTTTGTACATGTTGTATTGAGGTTAAATATTCATCTCATATTTGTGTATGGATGGCATTAAAAATAGGGGAAATTATGGCGAGAAGGAAGAATTTTTCAATTCAAAATAGTGATTGCATGGTGAGGAATCTAGGGAAATAGTCTTTACGGTGATTTATCATTCACCGAGGGACTTTTCAAAGGTCATTCGAAATAGTGATTGAAGTCTTCTTCAAATGCCCAGCAATCTAGGCTCTGGGTAATTGCTATTATGATTTAGACTTTTTAGTTTGTTAAATATGTTTAGCAAACCCCCTTTACAACTCATAGGGCATACTTATTTGTAGTCTGTCTCGAGGGTCATCTGGAAAAAGAAAGGAAAGGGGGGATGAGTTCACTCCCATTGTGTGGGGAGGGTCTCTTGGGTCTTTCTTTGAGGAACCATTTATCCGCATTTCACTAAAGAGTGCATCTACTACATGGAAGATTGACTAAATCTTGCATGGTGATGACAAAGTGAATGTTCACCGTTAATCGTGGGTACAAAATAAAGGTAATTGCTAAGATTTTGTTTGTTAAATATGTTTCTCGAATACAACAATGGTGCAAGTTCATAGGCTAGGCAATTTGCAATTTATCTATATGACACATCTACTACCTGCAGGACCAAATCTTTGATCTACAAAGAGAAGTTAGCAAATTAATCACAAGACGATGACAACAACAATGGTGCAAGTTCATCACTCTGCAATGATCCATATTACACCCTAATCACAAGAACAAGGGCCTCCGTCCCGTCCCCCGCCACCATCACCACCACAATGGGAGGCTATCATGGTGGAAAGGTGCAACACAATTTGCTATGTGGTCACACTACTAGGACGACCCTATCTTATTCACATGGCACATCTATGTGTTTGTTGTTTGGTTTAATTACCTAAGACATATTAGGTTTAGTCGAAGTAACTATTTATCCTTGTTTGGTACATGTTCTCACACGCCATTTCTTGTGCTTGTTGTTTGCTTCAATTACCTAAGGCATGTTAGGTTTAGTTCAGGACCTCTATACCTTAGTTCGGTACATGTTCTCATATTTCATGTGTTTTGTGTGTTCAATTATATAATGCCCTACTTCGTTAGATTTTGTTTGCAGCACTTGATCACATTTCACTACGTCCACAATATTAAACTGAATATTATGACCACAAATAATGAAAACAACTATATAATGAAAAATTCAATACTATGACACATTAAACAACACAATAATACTAGAAGTACGTGCTGACAAACTAAATAACGCAGTACATGACCTAAGCATGCCCATACTTAAAGTGCATTACAAGACAACACAATAAAAAGTCCAACAGTAGACAACATTGTTCATGAATAAACCATAGAATTAGCAAGTAATGGAGACTACTGAGTGCAACGAGGCCACTTTCTCTTCCTCAAGGCATTGGCATTCTCCTCCATCGCTGCTCTCGCTCGGCGTGCACGCTCAAGCTTCTTCTCCCTCTCCTCCCTGTACGCAGCAACATGCCTCCTTTCCTCCTCTTCCTTGTGCTTCTTTTTTGTAGCCTCCTCTCCACGTCTCTTCTCCATCATCTCCTTGTCCTCTGCCTCCCACCGTAATAGTTCTGCATCCATTCCTTGTCTTTAGGCTTGATCTCAGTGTCGATCCACTGCTCAAAATCATAGAGTGGTGGAGGAGTCTGCAAAAAATGCAATTGTTACAAAACAAAAAAATCATGCAAGATGTCATATAACACAAACATCAATTCCTCACCAACTTGTTAATGCGGCGCTGACGAAGTGTAGGCTCAAACGCAAAATTGAAACACACCCAATACCTCTAGCTATACGTGTCCTCTTCATCGGACTTGGCTACCTTGCAGGGATCATCGTAAAAGCACATGGGCACTGAAACACCACTAGGCAGAGGCAATGGGTCGAAGGCATTTTCGGTCATCCTGGCATAACTACAATTTAGCCATTTTCGTTTTAAGAACCGAAAGCAATTAACATTAAACGCTACACCTAGGGTTTCCCATTTGATCCACAACAATGAACCCATATCATAACAACGTGTGCTGAGGTTACCTTGGTTTGTTATCTTTTCCACGCATTGGCATCCTACGGTTGTATAATATAAATATTAAAATTATATGAAACCCTAAGCAATGAAGATTCTAAAGTTGAAAAATCCGACTAATATATACCGAATCGATTTGAAAAAAAAACTAGGAGGGAGTGAGGATACCTTGTTCTTGAAGATCTACGGATCAAATCAAAGTTTCCAAGGTCCAATATGTCAATTCGTGAGGTAGGGCGAAGTGAGGAGAGAAAAAACCCAAGAGGAGGAAGAAAGAAGAGGAAGAAGACTCGGACAGGAAGGTTGGGCACCAGGTTAAAACACAAGCTCGGCGCTAGGATCTTTGGCGCCAAGCTCGGCGCCAAGATCTACGACGCCGAGCTTGGCACCAAGATTCACGGCGCCAAGCTGGCTGCCATGTCAGCGTCCACGCCGCCAACGTGGCCCCAACCTAGGCGCCAGAATTTATGGCGCCGAGACGTGTAAGCTCGGCGCCACCAACGATGGCGCCGAGCTAAGGATCCAGATTTTGAAATCATACATCTAGGGGCATATTTGTGAAAATTTTTCAAAAAAAGCTAATAAATAAAAATTCAGCACAAAAAACACACATTCTTGTTCACCACGTGTTATTCAAGGTCGCTGGAGCCGGGCAAGGCCGCCCTCACCGGTGTCGGAGCCGAGCTCGCTAGGGCCGGGACGAGCACATACCTCACCTTTTGTTTTTTTGGGCATCCGAGTCCTCAAATCTTAAGGAATATATTGCTTGTTGGGACAATTCTATCCCACCTGTCTTCAAACCAAACACCGGGACAAAGCACGATATGTCTTGTCCCTCAACCAAACATATCCTAATAGGATGATAATGGATGAATTAACTATTTATTCTACCAAATAGCAAGTTTGCATTAAAAAAAGCTCATTTAATGTGCCTACAGTAGAGAGCCCTTGGGGTCGACCCATGATTCGATTACAAATAAGCTTCTTACCCTCTGTCAGCAAGTGCTTCACTGTGCCAAGTCAGGCCGACTAGCAAATTCATTGAAGATGATCAGTTGAAGTCTGATAGGTTTACACCTAAGATTTTTTTTTGTCAGGTAAACCACCCAATGAGACTGAAAAACTCTGAAAATTTCCATGTCCCCAAAGTCTCACGAGTGACATACACACGGCTACACGCTACTAGCTAGAGGTCGTCGACCTTCAACAGACCAACATAGGGCGTGTCGACGGAGCCAAGCCAGAGCGCGCCGCCGGGCCGCTCCACTACCTCACTGACCGTGGCGTTCCCAAGCCCGCGCAGCGCCTCGGTGACGGCACCAGTCTCCCCGTGGACCCTGACGGCAGCCACGGACCGGGGCGTCGTCCCGTTCGCCAGCCACGACTTGTCCCGGTTCAGCGCCACCCAGTAGTGGTACCCACCGGCGCCGGCGTCGGCGCGGCGCACGTTGTCTGGGTACCCCGGCAGGTCCGCGAAGGGCTCGGTGGTGCCGGCGGCGGGGCCGCGCAGCCAGTGGCGGAGCAGCCGGCACCGCGTGGTCTCGGCCACCACGACGTGCGTCCCGTCCGCGCTCAGCGCCACGCCGTTGGGGAAGGACAGGCCGGACGCCAGCACGGTGGGGGCGCTGCCCGTGGCCGGGTCGTACCGCAGCAGCCGCCCCGTCGCTTCGCCGGTCAGGATGATCATGATGTAGTCGCTGCAAGAAAATCAATTAATGTCAGTGCATGACAACGACGGGTAATAAGCACACAACAGAACTAATCTCCAAACGTAGTACACCATATAACCAAATCGTTAACACGTACTAGTAAATTAAACACGGTGAATGAAGGTGATTTACATACACCACTAAGAATACAATTATATAGGAATAATGAACATTCATGGCAAATGCGATTAAAACCTGTGCTCATCAGCTGGGCCAGGCCGGGTTACGTAACGTACGGGTAGCCGGGTGTAGCGAAAATTGGAATTTTGGGCAGGAAGCCGTGCATGTGCAGCAGCAAATACTTGCCGGCCGGCCAGTGACATTTGGACGGTCTATAAGGCTATCTCCAACAACAACATATAAAATACAAGACTTATTCGTACTTTAGATAACGCTATAGGCAAAATGTTCAATATCTATTCGGTATCTTCTTCAATAATAAGATCTAAAAAAGAATTATTTCTGCAAATAGGTTTACAGAAGAGATGATATTCATATTTAGATTGTGCCTCTCAAACAACCTAAAATAGGTCTCCCGTATAAGTACTCTGTTAAAAACTGATTTTACATGTTTTTCTATCTATTTTAAATTTAGATGTCCATATAAGTTTGTTGTCGGAGACAGTCTAGCGGCATTAGAGCAGGTCGTGCCCATTTGGACAACCTACTTTCACAAAACCAGTGCAGTCATCAATGGAGTAGCAGTACTCAATGAGGTCGTACCAGCAGGCTCCTCAGTGCCTGGACCCAATCACGCAGAGCAATTGAGGCTTGTTTAGATTGCAAGTTTTTTTACTCTCTCTTCATCACATTAAATCTTTGGATACATGTATGGAGTATTAAATATAGATAAAAAAATAACTAATTACATAGTTTAATTGTAAATTACGAGACGAATCTTTTGAGCCTAGTTAGGCCATGATTGAACAATAATTATCAAATACAAACAAAAATGTTATAGTGCCAAATACTGATGGTTAACCACAATCAAGGCACGAGGCTTTGCGGTGCAAGGGCGTCCTCCGTGCTTGCTCCGGCTACGTAGTATGGCCCGTTCGTGTACTTAAATTTCGTTTAAATTTGGCTCGATCCACTTTTTTTTATTTGAAACAATGTTTTCCTTTTACAAATTCCTCTAGAATTTCTAAAATCATCCAAATTTCTCCAGAACCATACCATCCGAACGGGACCTATATGTGTTGGTCTGGTCAGATCCGCGACACAAAAGTACTCCGGCCGTAGATCGATTCCGCAGGTATATTTGAACCATTCTCATATGACAAATATGAATACAGTGTCTTGTAAAAACAGCCAAGACTCCTCAGCTTTAACGCACTGCAAACGTGCTCCATTTGTTTCAAAGTTTTTTAAAATTTTATGAAATATATATGCATAATACTAATATTTATAGTACATAATATGTATTATTTGATTAATAGTAAAATACCGTTATCTCAAAAAACACCACATCAAATAAAATGCAATGAATGAAATAACACAGTCGATGCATGGTTTCATTCATGTTTTTCTAAGATTAATTTATAAACATTTAATTTCATAGCCTACAGCGGAGCCGTCGGAGCCCCCGAACCATTGGCTCCTCCGGCTCCTTCACGTTTACGGAGTACAGTTATATTTTACCGAAACCAGAGCTGTTTTGATGCATGCCACGTTACGCAGGTATGTGGAGCCAGGGCCGCTCGGAGCAGAACCAAAAGATGTCTAACCATAGAAAGATGTCAAGCTTACTCTATTTTAAACTTAGTGGTAGTAATTGTTCTTACTTATGTAGTTGATGTTTTAAGGTCCTATTCGGCTTACTCCATATTCAACTTTGTTTTTATTTGGTAATAATTTTCCAATCGTTGATTAATTAGGCTCAAAACGTTTTCTTTCAAACAATTTAATTTAGTTTTAATTTCGTCAACATTTAAGCTCCATGCATTTCAGCCATGTGATGGGAAATTTCAGACGTAGTGTCAAATTTAGGAATTGGGAGAACTAAATTTACATGTAATACTTTATAATTTAAGATAAATTTTATATGCTTTCACGGGAGAGGGATTTACTCGGAGAGTCGGAGTGGCCGTAAAAGACTGGAACAGTGGACGCCAGGAAGCATCAAACGCTTGTACGGAGTAGTAGCAGTAGCACGTTTAATTGCAAAGCTCTCGGCACCACGTGTCAGTGCACAAGTCATGGGACATCTGCGTGTCACCGCACCAGTTTTTACTACCATTACGTCAGGGCGGCGTAAATGCGCCGCTTAGGCTGTCTCCTCCAACAGGAGACTTGTTAAAATGATTCTTCAATCCAATATTTATAGCAACATAATAAATCTAAACTTAATATCGGGAGGCATCTCTTTAAGATTTCAAGTTTTTATAGAAAGAGTTATCTTTCTATCACATTAAATCTTTTAAACACATAGTAATATAGAAAGAAGAATGATAAAATGTATATAAAAATAACTAATTATCTCGTATTGATCTGGGTTGATCAGGTTGTTGGAATTATTACAGGCCGCGGCATCCAATCTTTTGCAACACACTGGCCCACTGGGGACAGCCTAGCTAGTGCTAGTGTCGGACGGGCAGTGAATGAGATCAATAATTATTAAATACAAACGAAAGTACACATGCACGACATTACGAGCCAAATACTAATTCCTAACATCTATCTAAACAAGGCCTTAAAATGAACCTTCAACCCAATATCTATAGCAACGGTATATGAAAGACTCATTTTAGATATTAGAAGAGGCACAATTCAAATCTCATCTTCCACCCGGACTCCATCCCGACACCCGTCTGAGGTCTGTGTTCCGGTAGATCCCGTTGCTATTTATAGAAAGAGTTATTTTTTAGATTTTATTATTGAAGAAGACAAAAATAAATATTAAACTCTTTGTCTATAGCTACACAAAGTATGAATGAATCTTCTGTCAGGGTGGTTGGAGACAGTATTACAGGCCGCGGCATCCACGCGTCGTTCTAGCAAGACACTGGCCCCTGGGGACAGCCTAGCTAGTGCTAGTGTCGGACGGGTAGTGAATGAGATCGTATAGATGGAGCCGAGAGGCTAGTCTACCACTGGTCCAATGCCTGTAGTAGAGTACACATGCACGACATTACGAGCCGGTCCGGAAAAAAATAGATTCAACGTGAAGCTAGACTCCCACGAAACAGCTTCAACATGGAGCTAGATCCACTAAACAGCTTCAACGTGGAGCTAGACTTCTACAAATCTATTTGAAAGAGTCTTAAACTTTAACATAGACTCATATGTAATCTTAAAAAAATATACCAAGGCCAAAATAAAAAAGTTCATCTTCCACCCAGACTCCATCCCGACACCCGTGACCGTGAGGTCTGTGTTCCGGTACCATGATCCCGTTGCTAGGACTCTTTTAAATTCAGAGCGTAAAATTTTAAGATCTCGTATCGGGTGTCATGTGGAGATATCAAATGGGGGTGCTTTGATACTAATAAAAAAATTACAGAATTCGTCAGTAATCCGCGAGACGAATTTATTAAGCCTAATTAATCTGTCATTAGCACATGTGTACTGTAGCACCACATTGTCAAATCATGGACTAATTAGGCTTAAAAGATTCGTCTCGCAAATTAGTCGTAAACCGTGGAATTAGTTATTTTTAGTCTATATTTAATACTCCATGCATGTGTCAAACATTCGATGGGATATGGAGTAAACTTTAGGGAGATGAACTAAACAAGGCCTTAGTCCTTGACCCCAATGACACGATATCCTGGATTTGCCACTGTAGGCCGATGAGACAGCACGGATGACAGAGGGGGCAATCAGGGTTGCGCGCACCATGGAATCACGAGGCTGTGTGCGGATGAGGAACATGTCGGGTTTGTGTGTAGGCGAGCGAGAAAGAGAGAGAAAAAAAGAAATGAACCGGTATGAGATGTGTGACCAGAGCTATAATGGATTATTTGTGTCCGACTCCATGAATCTCAAGGTTTTTAGAGCACCCCGTTAGGGAGTTTCATAGTTTTAGGACTTGTTTGAGATAGCTCCACATCCACGAAATTCTAATCCAGATCCAACTTTTTTTAGCCAAACATGTCTAGCTCCACTAGTGGATCTGTTCTACCAATTTGGTTGAGTTGAAAAAAATTACCCACCATGCCACTGATTACACATATTTGGCTCCGAACTGGTACGTCATTTTCTTTCTTTTCTCGCATCATCATGAAGACATCGCTGGCAAGCCCGTCCTACCCACGCCGGCCACTCCCACCCCCTGGCTAGCCGCGCGCGCCAAGGGCGGCTGGCGTGCTCCCTGGCTAGTCACACACCAGCCCCTGCCCGTTCGGATTCCCCCGTCTCATGCCCGAGCAAGAGAAAGAGAAAGGAAGGTGGATTTTTTCCATTTTGCCCTCTAACGCGTGGGGCCTAGGTGGAAGTGAAATAGACATAGATGTGGAGCTATACCAAACACCTCTAGCTCCACTAGCTGCTCCACATGGATCCAGGTGAATCTCAGATCTAGATTCACTTTTTTAGTTGATGGAGCTGTCCCAAATAGGACCTTAGGAGCTAGATCATTGTTTGGGTGGATCTAGAGCTGGTGAAGCCGAAGTGTTTGGCTAGAAAAATGTGGAATGGACATGTATTTCATGGATCTAGAACTACTAGAGCCCTCCCTCCGCTCCAAGTTTCTAAGCTTCGCTCCACATGTTTGAGCTCCGCTTTTTCTTTTCTAGTCAAACAGGTGAAGTCTCATAAACTTCGTTCTAGGAAAAAATGATAAAGTCGTGGGCTTTAGAAACTCCAAGTTTTACGGAGGTGCTTCGTAATAGAATAGAGCTAGTGGAATAGTTCTAAACAGGCCATCTCTTGCGCTGCTCACTTCAGCAACGAGTGGCTGCTGGCCTGCAGCAAAACAGCCGAGTGCCATTATACTGTAGCTGTGCAGCCGTGGTATAGCTGCAGGCTTTCTGTTGCGCAGCACTGTTGTCAGCTGTTGTCAGCCGTACAGCCGGAGGCGCAGCTAATCCGATCAGACTTTCTGTTGTCGAGATGGAGATAACGATGAGCCGGAAAGGCGGCCAAGCCAAGCCGTTTGGGGTTTGGCCGCGTCCCTCGCCAAGTCGCCATCATCTGTGAGCGTTATCATGGTCTCTTCCTGTTGCTAAGGGGCCGTTCAGTTAGGCTTAATCCTGAAACGGTTTCTGATGATGCTTGGCTATATAAAATACAGCAGCGTTCCAGGTCAGATCAATTTCAGGACTCATCTCGTGCCAACTGAACGTGCTCTAGATCAGAGCCGTCACGGTATATCTTATTCGTAGACGAAGAATGTAATCTTTTCTTTTCTTTTATGAATTACTAATATAGCAACATGAACACTCGACTATACTAGAGATTGAAATATACGTACGTGCCAAAGCTCCTGCATCACGTACTTACAGGTACTTGCATTTACACTGTAAAGGATTCAGCGACGTATATGAAACGAGGATGCACCCTAGCGCAAACTTGTGTTGAGAATGTATACGGACGTACTACCATGCACGTTATGTCACGACATGTTGTCGACACGAGAATCAACGCCTATCAGGCAGCCTATACCACGCTACGTATATCACCTCTCGATCTAGTACACATATGACTCCGCGAGTCCGTGCTCATCCCTATTCTCTATACGTACAGTGCTTGTTTTTTTTTTTTTGCCTACGAGTGGCAGTCATAAAAGGGAATTAAAGATACGGCGCTGGGGCGCGGGATCGGACGTACCTCCGCTGGTACGTGGCGCTGCTGTCCGTGAAGTAGACGTGGCCGGTCTCCTGGTCGACGTCCACGCCGTTGACGAAGTTGAGCGGCGCGCCGCCGGCATCCGTGGCCACCACCTCCGCCAGCCCGCCGCGGCGCCCCACGCGCATCAGCCCCAGGTACGCGTCCGCGTAGTAGAGGTCGCCGGACGCGCGGTGGAACTGCAGGCCCAGCGGCCGCCCGCACTCGCTCTCCGGCAACGCCAGTCTCTTCTTCGCCGCGCACATGGCCACCGTCCTGCGATGCTTGGTTTCTTATATATTAGTAGCAGACAGACCAACACATGTGCCGCCGGCCATGCACGACGCCGACGTGATATTCCTGTGCAGCTGCAACTAAGAGCCAAGCAAGACGTACTCGTGCTTGTAGTTGTGGGCGAACTCGGTCCACCCGCGCCGGGCGCCGCGCCAGCGGAGGACGCGGCCGTTGGAGACGCCGGTGTAGGGCCCGTCGCCGCGGTGGTCGAAGGCGAGGCTCTCGGGGCCGAACGCGGGGCGGCCGAGGCGCACGGGGAGAACCCTCTGACCCACGTCGATGGACTTCATCTCCTCGTGGCAGCTGGCCATGGACGGCAACTGCGCAAGCAACAGCAGCAGCACAAGAGCCAGCAGAGAGGAGGAGAGCAGGAGCGAGGTGGAGGAGGGACAGCACTTGGCGTTGCTGGCGACCGGCTCCATGTTCTTGGGAGAAAAAGAGGTCTTTTCTCTGTGTGGCCGGACAGTGTAAGGTCATGCATGTGGGTCGCTCTTATAGAAGAGCAGGCTGTGCCCATGACAAAGCAAGACACTGAATTATCCTAGCTATTGGGCTTGTAAGTCGACCCGCAAGGCGTGTGGTCGAGCCAGAGCCCATTTTCGGCCCGCGCACCATCGAATGGTCACATCGGGTCAGACTATTCTCACATTTTCGTCTGTTAGTGTCGTTGGGACTTGCTAGCGCCCGAAGGTCCGATCCGATCCGGGCGCTAACGTTGAATGATACCCGTGCAGCGAGCGACCGATCCGGGGCGCTAGCGTCGATGGTAACCGTGCAACGAGTGAGCGAGCGCCTCAATAGCGTTGGACTTGCGAGCGAGCGCCCTAGCAGCGGGCCCATGCCGCCCCGGACGTCGCCCACGCCGCTAGACCACGCGCGAGGACCGCTCACGCCCCCTCTTGCTTCCCACGCGCATCCCATGTGCAATACCCGATTTGAAATATCTAGATGCAACACTTGAAACATTCGTCTGAAACACTTCCAAAAACACTTGAAAAACCATTGCAAACATACGCAACATCCATATAAAATACCCACAACATATGTGTGAAACATATACAACATGCAGATAAACACACTTGCAACATACGCCTAAAAAACAGATGAAACATTGGGAACAAACGCTTGCAACATACCTTTCAAACACTTGCAACATATGCAAAATGTGCAATATCTCGGTCTACTTTTGCAACATCTAGATGAAATACTTGCAACATCTAAATGAAACAATGAAACACTTGAAACATACCCTTACAACATGCGCTTTCAACACAATATCACCTTGCTGCTTGGACGAATGGATGCTCGTCGTTGTGGAGCTCGACGCCAGCGCGGAGGTCGACGGTGGTGCATGGAGCTCGCCGGTGCAGCAACGACGCGGCCCACCGGCGATTCTCCAACGCCGCTCGCGGCCTAGGCTCGCGCCCGTCGGCACGAGCCTTGTTGCTACTACTGTAACGCCGCTGCCGCTTGGCCACAGTCGTCCAGCACCGTCGCTCGCAGGCATACCAGCCATGTTCCTATTCCCAGAACAGGAACGAGAATGGGAACTTGGGGTATCATTTTATAACGTGGGAATGGGAGTGTTCCTTTTCCCGGAATGTAGACGTTCTCGAACGTGGAACATGGTAACCGGAACGTGAGCCATATTCCTGTTCCCAGGCTGTTAAGCTCGTAGGGGATGGGTGCGGCGTGGCCAGCGATGGGGTGCGGCGCGTTGGGGGAAAGGCACGGCGCTACGGGGGACGGAGCGCAATGGGCGAAGGGGGCACGACGGGGCGGACGGATGAGCGGCCACGCCACGACGTGCAGATGAGCGGAAGTGGGGATTTTTAGAGGCCGGTCTGAGTCCGGACGGGACGGACACCAGTGGCTGAGCATTTCTATATTTTTAATCAAATCAGAAGATCAGGTTATTAGATCGTCAATTATGACTCAAATCCACCTGGTACACTGGTGTCAAGCCAGGTTGGGTTTTTTTTTTCAGTCGGGTCAGGGACTCAGGGTCGGGTGATAAATGATCACGTCTACTTGGCATACTCTCCCGTTGAGCTTGTTCACCCGTAAGCCCTATATATCCTTTGTACAAGTAGGCTCATAACATATGGTTGCCGACTGAATCGCAGAGTCTTAGCGGAAATTGCCATTGCGGGGTACAGGTCTAAGTGAGATCGGGAAAACAATTTTTTTTTGTTCCAATTCCTCTTGAATCCCTAAATTCTATGCGGGTTGGCTCAGCAAGGCATGTGATCGTGGTCCCATCTGTGCCACTGCCATTCGCCTTACTACATTCACTCCAATCCCTTATATATCCACAATCCACCAAATTCCATCCAATGGCCTATGGTTCCAAATCACCAACTCTCATGACAAGGATGGCAACGACGACGGAGAAAATCGGTGGTCTAAAGGCCACATATGACCTTCATGCTCAATATGCATGATGTAGGCTTTCAACCATTGGCGAACGAAAGCGGGCAAGTTCTCTACCAAACTGAATCAAGCTATCAACACTTTTACATAGCACACCGAGGCATTCGGAAGCAGACACCTTGTATGCTCCTGCCATTGCCACATGCCCCATTTTGCTAGGAGGGACAGGCCCATGGCCACCGCGTTGATCTTCTTGCCTACTGGTCAGATGCTCGAGCTTTGCTCCTGCATCAGCCCCTAGTCAAGGGTTAGTTTCACAATGCATGGCTACTCTGTACATACCATCGCATGGCTACTCTGTACATACCATCAGTTTGGGTGAATCTACTCGTAGGACTAGCCTGTTTACTACATAACCATATCATAAGGAGTTGAGGTTACCCAAGGTTGATTTCCTAAGTTTGAGGGTGACCATACAAACGTTTGGAAGAAAAAAAGAGTGAAAAACACTTTGCCATGGTTACTATACCTGTGTTAACATCACTACTGGAAACGGGATGGAAACGGGATCTTTGCCGAGTGTCAAAAATCGGACACTCGGCAAAGACCTTCGCACTCAGCAAAGAATTGCACTCGGCAAAGAGTTCTTTGCTGAGTGCCGGACACTCGGTAAAAAAAGGCTCTCGGCAAAAGCACGACACTCGGCATAGGCTGCCCCGCGTAACGGTATTCGGCCACGTCCTTCTTTGTCGAGTGTCTGCTGTTAGGCACTCGGCAAAGAAGGTTTTTTTTTAAAAAAAAATTCTTTGCCGAGTGTCCCAGATCTGGCACTGGGCAGAAAAATCTTTGCCGAGTGCCCCCGACCTGGCACTCAGCAAAGGTTTTTTTTTTAAAAAAATTCTTTGCCGAGTATCCCGGATCTGACACTCGGCAAAGATTTTTTTTTGGAAAATACTTTGCCGAGTGCCCCTGACACGACGCTCGGCAAAGAATTTTTTTTTTCGAAATGTCTTTGCCGAGTGCCCCTGGGAAAGCACTCGGCAAAAAGGAATTTTTTTAAAAAAAATTGAAAACCCTCTTTGCCGAGTGCCTTATTCTTGGCACTCGGCAAAGACCCCATTTGCCAAAGATTTTTTTTTGCCTCCAAATTTTTTGGGCAGCCTTTTTAAGGTACCAGGAACTCTTAGTTAGAATTTAGGGATTTTTTTGGCTTTTTGATATATTTAGTTACTTTATTTCGTTTACTTGAATTTTTTCGAAAAATACAAATTTGAACTGCACATGGTACGAATAATAGAATTTAATGATTCAAAAAATGATAGTCATGTTACTGAGTGTAGTGTGAGGCCGTATCCAGGAACGGACCTGAAATTTCGGACATCTTGTTCACGAAACATGACCGTGAACTTACGTGCGAAGTGTTTTTAAATTCTATAAAAAGCAAACGAAGTCCGAAAATCATGAAACTTGTTGAGATGTCGTGATATCGTATATGGAGGCTATGATAAAAATTTGAGAATGTTTGGTGCACGTTGTCATGTACGATACTTACAGGACACCTCCACGTGAGCACTCGACGAAGACATTAAAAAAAAATGCCGACGGCCGGATCGGGGCACTTGGCAAAGTTGCCTCCTTTGCCGAGTGCCTCCGGTCAGCCTGGGCAGATTTTAGCCGAAAACCGTGAACTAAACCGAACCGAACCGAACCGAACCGAAGTATCGGTTGTTCGGTTGTTCGGTTTCGGTTTCGGTTTCTGTTTTCAGCGAGTTCGGTGATCGGTGTCGGCTTCGGTTTCTGCGTCAAGTCAAACCGAGCAACCGATCCACCGAGATTTGCAGCCAGAATCGCAGAAAGTCACTCGCCGTCCTCCTTCGCTTCCCATCCATTTCATCCCCAGTGCCCCAAATGACTCCAACCCCACCCTCCGCCCTCTCTCACTCATTTTCTCTCTCTCTCTCCTCCTGCTTTCGAGAGCCAAATCCCTAGCTACCTCGCTCCGAAGCTTGCTTTCCTCGCCTCAGAGATCTCCCATGTCCGCCACGCCGCCAGCCCGGCCGTATGGCGGCGCCCAAGGGAAGCTCGGTGAGCTAGTGTGGGAGCACCGGTGCAGTGCAAGCGTCAAGGCGGCGTTCAGTCATGGCGCGCGCCATCTCGATCTCCGCCGTCGGGCCCCCACCTCGGCCAGCAAGTGGTGTCATTCTTCGGCACCGCTTCCTCTCCACGGCCTTCTTCCCGTGGCCGTCTCCGTCTTTGCTCTGGATCTCGCCGCCCATGGACGACGCCGACGAAGTCCGGAAAGGAGCTCATCGACTTCGCCGCCGGGTCTTGCCGCCGACCACCTCGCCCCGGATCTTTGCGGCGGCGATCGTGCCGTGGGTCGCCGTGGAGCCCCGCCGGCCGGAGATCTAACGATCGCAGGTCGCGAGAGAGGAGGCGGAGAGGAGGCGACACAGCAAATGTAGAGCTGTTCTGTCTGCGGCAGGAGGCCGCGCCGCATACGCGACGGCGAAAGGTGACTTATGGCGGCGGCGGCGACCAGCGGACCAAGCTCGGGTTAGTTCGGTTAAACCGAAAAACCGAGCGGAACAAACCGAATGCGTCGGTTTTCAGTTCTCTCACAAACCGATCGGTTGTCATATCTTGGAAACCGAATTTTTTGGAAACCGAACAAACCGAACCGATTTGTCGGTTTAAACCGAATGCCCAGGCCGCCCTCCGGGACGGGTGGGGGCACTTAGGCGATTTCGGCCGGCCGGTCAGTCCAAGCCTCAGACAGCCAGCCAGCCCCCGTGCCCACGCCGGCCCGCCCCCCCCCCCGCCCCCGCCCCCGCGCCGCGCGCCGCCCTCCCCTCCCCTTGCGCCGCGCCCGGGGCCGCGCCCGCGCCCGCCTGCTCCTGCGCGGACAAGTCAACTCCTGCCTGCGGCCGCCGCGCCCCACGCCGGCCCCCATGGCTCGTTCCGCCTCCGCTCTCGTCGCCGGCTTTCTCCTCGTCCTCGCGCTCCTCACCCTGGACGCGGCGCAGGGCCAACAGCCCTTCCCGCCCACCGATCCCTCCGACGGTATCGATTTCTCGCTCCTTCTGTGGTGTCTGAGGTTGTGTAATGGCGACGAGAAAGTTGGCAGCTAGTAACTCGTGGATCTCGCGTTCCTGCAGCGGATGCCCTGCACGCTGTGTTCCGGCAGTGGCGACTGGAGGGGGAGGCGGCGGCGGAGGACCCGTGCATGAAGCGCGTCTGGTCCGGGTCGTTCGAAATAAACGCGTCTATCGACTGCAATTGCCCCGCCATCAGCCGGTGCCGAATCACGGGCCTGTGCGTCGTCTTCACTCTTTCTCCTATTTGATGCTGATGCCTATGTGTACCTGGGATTGATGTGTGGGTCTGGAATCTCCGGATGGTGCAGGAATGTGACTGGGTACGGGAATATCACGGAGATCCCGCTGGCTCTCTTCAATTTGACGGAGCTCGTCTCTATGTGAGTTTTTGAATCGATGGTTCATGCTGTACAATTGCAAATGCTTTAGGGAGCTTGATGTTAGATTAAAATGGTTTCTTGAAGTAATGACTACTCTCTCTGCAGCTTGAAATTGCACCACGACAAACTACTTAAGAATATATCCGAGTTTACTTAAAAAGAGTAGGCCTATAACTAAGATTTTCATGAAAATATGGACTTGTGCTAACATCCAGTGTTCTACTGCCCAGAGGAATATACCAGACATGAATGTACCTACGGTCATTGTTAGCTTTGGTACTTTTTAGTATTTTGGTATCTCAGATATCCATGTAATACATAGCATCTAATTGAAAAACTATCTGATCTCATCCTACCAAACTGTTAGTATACATGACAGAAAGCTTGTCTACCATGACTCCCTCCTATCCTATTGTAGTTGTCATTTTAGCTCTATTGGAGCAACATACTTTACTCCTACGAATTGTACCATAGATTCTCGAACAGTATAACACCACTGCCATTCTACTGAGAAGCAATGAGTAGGGCTATTTCGTGGAAAGTGTTGCCTCGGACAACCAAACTGACAAGTATTTGCTGATCAAATGCACTTTCAATTATAACACTTGTTTTGGACCTAAGGCTACCATTTTTAAGCTCTACCAGCTTTATTATAACCCTGTTTTTTTCCCTTACCCTTGATTGTCAATATGGTTCTATGCATTCTCTTGTGAGAATAGGAATTTCAATATGATTGTAAGTCGCCTCCTATTTCATTTTCTAGGGATTTAAGTAATAACAACTTGAATGGTTTAATACCCCCAGAAGTTGGCAATCTTTCCAAACTGGAAACATGGTGATAACCATACTTGCTCCCCTAAATATAAGCCTGTACATGTTATTTATCTCTTCATTGAGCCATTGTTGTTGTATTATTCCAGAATGTATGTATTGATGGTCCATCTTGCTGAATGCTATTAATTCAACCTACTGCTAACAGAATGATTAAAGTTTTCCTACTTGATTGGGCCACAATAGTACAACACTACATCCCTGCCATGCATCTATAACAGCTGCAGACATGATGTATAGCTGATAAGCTGAATACAATAAGTGATTCTTTATCTAAGAAATGTATGCTTATTCTGCTTTCTCTATCTCAAATCTAGCCCAGCCTAGCTCAACTTGCTTGGGATTAAGAGGGCTTTATTGTTGTTGTCTATCTCAAGTGACAGTGATACTTTGTGATATTAGCTTAGCAAATTTCAAATAAAATAATATCCTACATCCTTGACCTGGTGTCTACAATATCCCATGATCAGATTGTAGCTGTTTTAGTTTAGCTGGTGTAATTCAAGTACCTAGTCTGTGAACTGTGATGCAATAGTGGATGCTTACGTATAAATTGTATATCTTATGAGAAGACTTAACCCTTATTGGCTAGCACTCAAGCCTTCTTAATTTCAAAATTATTTGTCAGCAAAGATATTTGATCTTCCCATAGAGTCATCGCTGATTGAATGCTCTCCATATAGCTAGGCACTTCAACAATAACAATCTCAGTGGATCTTTTCCTCATGAATCATCACTTTTAAGAAATCTAAAGTCCCTGTAAGTGCGCCTTATGTCCCTTTGTTTTCTATATACTCAGTAACCTTCTATGTCATCCAATTTGAAGAAAGAATAACTAATCTTGTGGTTGATTATGCAGGTGGATATTTGATAATAATGTCGAAGGGCTTATTCCAGAATTTATTCAGAACTTTACCAGTCTCACAGACTTGTACGCATAACCACTTGGTTTGTTGTTGTTAGGAACAGCTCCTTCCTTTCCAATCTTTGAGATCTAATGCCGTGATCTTGCTAGGCGATATATGGGACCTAAACTTCAAGGACCTATACCAAAAAATTTCTCAAATTTGACCAATCTAGAAGTCTTGTAAGTCACTCTAATGGTTACTTCTGTTAAATGATACCCCCCTCCATTTATTTTGAATTTCAGTGCTGTGGTAAATATTGGAGTCAATGTATTTAGAAGTTAGTCATCTGATCTGGAGAAATTCTTATCTGTTGTTGAAGAAAAACATCATTATTATTTGGTACAAACAAGCATGGGCCGTCGTGAGGGTGGGGCAAGGCAAGAAGCATGGGCGGTTCTGGCTTGGCGACGGCGTCATCAACACGGCCTCTACTCGGCAAAGATTTTTTTTTAAAAAAAATTCAAACTTTGCCGAAAGTGCCGAACAGAGGGCACTTTCGGCAAAGAATTTTTTTAAAAATTCAAATTTTGCCGAAAGCCGACCAGAGGGCACTTTCGGCAAAGAATTTTTTAAAAAAATTAAAATTTTGCCGAAAAGCCTACCTGAGGGCACTCAAAAGAAAGAATTTTTTTAAAAAATTCAAACTTTGCCGAAAAGTTTGAGAAGAGGGCACTTTCGCAAAGAATTTTTTTTTAAAAAATTCAAACTTTGTCGAGTACCGACCCGGTGGGCACTTTCGACAAAGATTTTTTTTAAATAAAAAATCTTTGCCGAGTGCCTGCAGGGTTGGCACTCGGCAAAGCCACCGTCAACGGATTCGGCGCCGTGACGGTCGTTTTTCTTTGTCGAGTGCCCGATAAAAGACACTCGGCAAAGAGGTCTTTGCCGATCAATTTTTTGCCGTGTGTTTTTGCCGAGTACCGCACTCGGCAAAGGCTTTGCCGAGTGCAATTTGGTCGGCAAAGAACCTGAATCCAGTAGTGCATGTAGGCTCAATTTACGTCATACATTTTTCATGGAAATGTTGCGCCATGACTTCAAACCTATGAAGCTCAGCACGGAGTGGATAGCTAGTTTGAGCTCTGTGTGGATGTAGACACCAAGTCAGGTAAGCGGACCCACAGGATCTAGAGTGTGTATTCTCGACGAGTAAAAAAGAAAGTTTTTATAGACTCCAAGGTAGAATTTGGTAGATGTGTCAAATATTGATTCAATTAGGATTTGAATTGTATTATCAGTTAGGGTAGAGTTTGGGTTCGACTCTATAACCTAAGAGGTCATAAATATGCATCCGACTCTTCTTATACCATAAGACAACTTGCTGGCTGGTTTGGATGGAAGCGTGGCCACGGTAACACTGTTATGCTAGTGTAGCTATTGCTTAAGGGAGAGCAGCGTCCGTAGTCATGTTTTAAAATGTAGACAAGTAGCCAAACCTGGTTAAAAGGCATCTTATCATGCCTTGACGTCATTCTCATGTGTGATTTCTTGGCATGTCGTTCTCATTGAAAAAAACATTGATTGGAGACCGTCAGCATGTCGGTACTATTGATGATTTTCATAACACAATGCATGAACCATGGACCATGGACCAGCGACCGATAGTGTGCAGGTGACATAGGAGTACCACTAATGTCCTGACGATGGACGTGCCATTAGAGCACGCTCAACGCACCAGCGTGGCGTGCAGCCCTGTAGGGCCATGTAGGCTTGGATGCCTACTTGGAGGAGATAAGAGAGTCACTGATGCTTGCAGAGGCGCCCATGACCTAGTCAGAAAAAGGTGTGGCTCTAGCAAAAATCAGAGAGAGAAGATCATCATTTCTTTGGATCAAAATCTGAGCAGCAAAAAAGTAGTGTACCCTGCTGTTGCTGCTTGCGTTGGGGCTTGTATGCCTCGAACTTGTCTTGATCTAGGTGTATTGTGCTTTTTGTGTGAGACCACCAGGCCTGTTAGCCCCGTTGCTGTTGCCCTCAGGCAAACGGAAGTGCCCTCCAATCGCCTTAACTAAAGAGAAAAAAATCCACACCAGTTGTCGTCATTCTTATTTGACGAGAGAATAACAAGCATATTTAGCCAGGAACCAATCACTAAGAAAAAAAAACCTTAAAGCCAACTTAAACAAATAAACCCCATAACTACTGAAAAACTCCACTAGACGCAGCTGAACCGTCACAATCCAACTTAAGAACACAAGAAGAACCCCAATAAAATGACTTGTCTCAATTGCAACTTCTTTTGTTGAAAGGTTCTTCCATTGTATTCCTTTGGGATGTGGCACCAAAAATAGATCCTAACATCCTCAAAGTATCTCTTTTGGGATTTGTCAAAAGTAGAGTGACACCTGCGCCAATACTTGTAAATAGTCCCATTTTGGTTTATGGTTTGTATGTTGGATATTCCACACCAATTCTGAATTATTGTCCAAAATTCTTGGTGTAGGGGCAGTCTTTATAGATGTTGCAGTGTTTTAGGTTCAACATTGCACAACCTACGTATTAGATAATTGGACCATCCACGCTTATTAATCGGATTGTTGGCGGTTAAGATTTTCTTGTGGAGCTAGGTCCAAGCAAAAAAAAAAGCACTTTAGGCCTTGTTTCGATGTTATTGTATTTACCACAATCCCCATGTGTTGGGTAGATTAGAGTGGAATCTAATTTACATTCCACCACAAATCCACCCCAACATATGTGGATTGATGCGAATCTGACTACATCCAACCAAATAAATAAGTACATGCCATCCAATACACGTCATGCCATCATCGGTTCTTGAAGGCTTACATTGCCATTGGCCATTGGCAGTCGCGACTGATGGAGCTCCTCCGTGGTGGATCTAGTCCTAGGTCCAACAATTAATTGCATGACCGCGGCACGCCTAGTGGCCGCCACCGCCCTTCTGCTCTAGGCACGTGTGGCTGCGGCCGCCAAGGAGCATGGACCGCACCCCGACAATAATGTCCTCCAGTCTTTGGGGACGTGCCACCACCAGCCGAACAGCGGTCCCTGCCAATCACCATTCTCGAACCATACCCGGGTCAAGGCTCATTTTAGATCAAATGCTCTACATGATGATCAGCAGAGACCAAACAACTAAGGAAAATTGGTTGTGTAGCATCGAAAGATCACGATCTCCGTAAAATACCACCGAAAGTTTACGCCCCCATGAAATAGCACCGAAAGGATCCACCGTGAACTGGAAGTACCATTCCATCAAATTTTACATACAGAAACGTTAACCTAAGATAAAACCCAGACATGAAATTACATATTTGCCCTTACCTTATCCTATCTCACCCATCTGAGATAGGAAGGCACTCGAGCCACTCGGTTCTCAGCTCGGCGCGCTCGCTCACCCCTTCCGCCGCCGCCGCGGGTTCTAGCACACAGGTCAGGGCATTGCCTCTGCCAGCCACCGCACGGGTCTGGGCACCGCCTCCACCGGCCACCGGGCACCCCTGCGCGGTGCCTCCGCCAGGTCGCCAGCATCCCCTGCGCGGCGCGGCGCCTCCACCAGGCCGCCGACATCCCTGCTCATCACCTACGCCAGCCGCCAGATGCCCCTCCACACTCAACTATGCAATGCATGAATTTGAGATTCCCAATGGGTAAGAACGAAACCTTAGCTATCTACTGCATCTCGTAGCACAACTGAAATTAGTTGCAGCATGCGATTGTTTGTGATATCCGGTTCATTTGTGTGTGCGATCTGGTATGAGGATGGCCAGTGATGAGAAAGGACTTTTGGAAGCAGTGCTAATTTGTTTGCACAGTTACTATTTTTAGGATCGATCTGACCAATGCATGTAGAGTAGTGATTGATGTTTCGTCCTACTCAACTGTTGAGGATGATCGATCCGTGTACAAAAAGAGCAGACACTTGGATTGGTGGGTGGATGCAGAAGAGTACTCCATCATTGACATGGAGAAAGATGTTTTCAAGCACTTCAGTTGGGCTAGCTATCAGGAAGCAAACTTCTGGTTTGTGGGTCAGAATAATCTAACAGTTCGCCTTGGTACTGACTAAGAGCTTCTAACTTTGCCGCGAGCTTCAAAATTGGTGGAGTTTATCTTGACTGTTGATAGATGTGAGCATGTTGATATGGCTTGTACCATGACTGAAATGGAGAATGAAAGACAAGTGCCAAATGAAGAGAATGACCTACAACTTCAGGTCGCAGAAATGTTTCAGGGGATGCATATGAGTGTAGAATTGGATGGTCTAGAATGGGCCTTGCAACCGCAACTTGGTGTTATGGCTGCTGGTCCTTCCAGAGTAGAGGAGGAGGAGGAGGGTGATATGGAGCTCGGTGTTGACCATGAGGGAGATGATCTAGTTGGAGCTGATGAAAAGTGGAGGTATTTCAATAAGGTGCATGAAGTAGGAAGTAATGAGAAAGTGCAGCAAGAAAAGAAGAAAATGGACAACAACAAATTTGTAATTGAAGACATAGATCCTGAGGCTGTGCCAAGTGATGAAGCCACCATGTTGCGAGATGCTCCGTATGTTCCACTCACTACATATGACAGAGACAACCCTGATATAAAGGAAGGTTCAACATTTACTGATAAAAAGGCCTTCATACTGATGATCAAGTAATATGCCATAAAAGGGAGTTTCAAACATTTGTAGAGCATAGTGATAAATCAAGATATAGGGCACGATGTGCAGATTCAGAGTGTGGATGGAAAGTTCATGCAAAGAAACTTCGTGGTGGCCCCACTTTCATGGTATACTAATTTCATACTATACAATTGTTTTTTTCATGTTCTGTCAATAATTCCAGACTATGCAATTCTGTTTTTTCATGTTCTATCAATAATTTCAGACTATGCAATTGTTTTTTTCTATGTTCTTTCAATAATTTCAGACTATGCAATTGTTTTTGTTCATGTTCTATCAATAATTCAGATCCCATATTTAAACACTAAATTCAGATCCCGTATCGTCTATTTTTTTCAGGTTGTGTCAATAGGTTCTAGCCATACTTGTGATAGCACCAGCCAAGTGAGGGGTAAGGAGGCTAGCA